GAGCCAGAAGCTGCTTCCTGGTGCAGCCGGCCTAATGCAATCCCAGCCGCAAGAAGAAACTGTTCCCAGATGAGTGAATGTTGTTTTTGTTGATGGCGATCATGCTGCTGGAGAAGAGATCCCCCAGGCGCACATCACGCTTGCCACACACATCCTTTCCACATTAACATTAAGGACAACTACTGCCTGGGGCTGCGATTGTCAGATCAACATTTCCACAAACCCAGGGCAGAGCTGGGATGTTTTGAAGTGAGACATTCTGCATGCTAATACTCTACTATTATCGATGCATGTTTTATAAGAGGCAGTAAACAGTGGCATGCACTGCCTACATAAACACAGTCATATTCCCATACAGGTTATCCTATGGATCAGGCCCGTAGCCAGGATTTTGTTTCGCGGGGGGGGGGGGGGGGGGGGGCTGAGTCTGAGTGAAAGAGGGTCTGCCCTAGCAAACCTTTTGTATCGTTACCCCAATACCCCCATGCATATGGGATATATTGAGCATGGTCATCAGATCATGATATGAATAAACATAACAGTTTAAATAATGTACCAGTAAGGCCTTCTCGTGGACCACCATGAGAATTTCGGGGTGGGGGGCTGAAGCCCCCCGAGCCCCCTCCCTAGCTACATGCCTGATACGGATACCAACAAAAAGCAGTTTCTGCCACATCAAATTCAGTGGCCAATTCACCATCCATCTAATCCAACCCCCTGCCATGCAGGAAAAGCACATTCAAAGTACCCCTGACAGATGGCCATCCAGCCTCTATTTAAAAGTTTCCAAGGAAGTAGCTTTCATCACACTCTGAGGCAGAGAATTCCACTGCTGAACAGCTCTGCCTTAATGTTTAGGTGGAATCTCCTTTCCTGTAATTTGAACCCATCACTACAAGTCCTAGATTCCAGGGCAGCAGAAAACAAGCTTAATCACTATTCCTTATGACATTCTTTCACATATTTATACATAGCTATCATGTCTCCTCTCAACTGTCTCTTTTGCAGGGTAAACATATCTAGTTCTTTAAGGCGATCCTCATAGGGAATGGTCTTCAGACCTTTGATCATTTTAGTTGCCCTCCTCTGAATAGTGAAGAGTAGAGACATCACACTGGCAACGAAGATCCGCATAGTTAAAGCAATGGTATTCCCCATAGTCACCTACGGATGTGAGAGCTGGATTATAGGGAAGGCTGAGTGAAGGAAGAAAGATGCTTTTGAACTATGGTGTTGGAGGAAAGTTCTGAGAGTGCCTTGGACAGCGAGAAAATCCAACCAGTCCATACTTCAGGGAATAAAGCCCGACTGCTCATTGGAGGGAAGGATAGTAGAGACAAAGTTGAAGTACTTTGGCCACATCATGAGGAGACAGGAAAGCTTAGAGAAGATAATTATGCTGGGGAAAATGGAAGGAAAAAAGAAGAGGGGCTGACCAAAGGCAAAATGGATGGATGGCATCCTTGAAGTGGCTTGACTCTGAAGGAGCTGGGGGAGGTGACGGCTGACAGGGAGCTCTGGCGTGGGCTGGTCCATGAGGTCACGAAGAGTCGGAAACGATTGAATGAATGAACAACAACCTCTGGACACCTTGCAGCTTGTCAATATCTCTTTTGAACTGTGCCCAGATTTATCAGATAAATTAATGCAACACATTCCTTTGAATTCCTGGCACCCCGATTATGCCTAGGGATGCTCTTACACTGGCAAATTAATACAGTTTGACACTACTTTCACTACATGCCTCAATGCTATGGAATCATAGTAGTTGCAGTTTGGTGAAACAGCACTCTTTTGGCAGAGAAGACTAAAGACCTTGAACACCTACAGCTCCCAGGATTCTATAGCATTGAGTCAGAGCATTAAAGTGCTCTCAAACTGCATTCATTCAACAGTGTAGATGCACCCTTGGTAGCAGATAAGTCTATAGGTGCCTAATTCTCTAAAGGGGCCTAGAACATGGTTTCAGCAGGGTTTTCCTCTCATTTACCATCTCACATTTACCAGGTTTCTAACTGGAGCTAATCAAAGGGAGCACACAACACCCCTTTTTAAAGCAGCTCCACTAAATTTGGAATTGACACTAAATTTGAACACAAGATACCTAACAACCCAATGTATGTCCTCCACTATATAATTTTGATTTTGTCATTTTGGAGTTGTGGTTGCTGGGATTTATAGTTCACATATAATCAAAGAGCATTCTGAACTCCACCAATGATGGAATTGAACCAAACTTGGCACACAGTTCTCCCATGACCAACAGAAAATACTGGAAGGGTTTGGTGGGCAGTGTCCTTTGGTTTTGGAGTTGTAGTTCACCTACATCCAGAGATCACTGTGGACTCAAACAATGATGGATGGGACGGCGCGAGTGGTGCCACCTATGTATAGAACTGTTAGTTGTAAGATTTAAACTGTTGTATCATGCTTAATCCTGCCCCCCTTTACCCTGCTTATGTATAGTTGTATGGATTGGTTGCTTGTAGCAGTCAATCAGTACTGTTTAGCTCCACCTCTTCCTGCAAGAGGGGAGAACTTCCCTTTTCTTCATTCTGCCATCAGAGTTCCTGCAACATGGACTTGAGTAAGAGACTTGATTCTAAAGGGCCCTGATTTAAGTTACCTCTTAGCACCAGTTCTGAGGTTTTTTACCCCTGGGACTCATGCTTTATGTCCAGATCGTCCTGGACAATTATTGAGGAGACCCAGGCGCCTTCTTTTGGCACCAAAGGAAGATCCTGAATCTTCAAAACATAGGCCATCTGAACTGGGGTTGTGGTTTGCTCCGGCATTCACAGCCATTGAGGAAAGAGGAAACTTGGTGAGGCTTCTCAGCTTCAAACCCCTTGGACCCAGGACTAATTGAGACTGTAAAGTATGTTTTCCTTCACCCCTCTAAAGTTTTCCAGCTCATTGCTTTGAAGAAATGACTTTGTGATAAATAAAACTTATTTGAGCTATTTACAGCGTTTTGGGTTTTTGGGAGTTCCAGTTTCCTATAGGAGGGCAAGAAGCAATCCCCTGGGGGAAAGATGCCACGTCCACCCCTCCTTTATTGAGAATAATAGCCCCCAGGGGTGACGGCACATTGCCCATTGTACAATGACCAAATACTCAATATGCCCAAATGTGAACACTGGTGGAGTTTGGGGAAAATAGAATCTTGACATTTGGGAGTTGTAGTTGCTGGGATTTATAGTTCACCTACAATCACAGAGCATTCTGAACCCCACCAATGATAGAATTGGGCCAAACCTCCCACACAGAACCCCCATGAGGACCACAGCAAGGCGTGGCAGGGGACGGCTAGTATTTTATAAATGCTAAGGTTTATTTTTCCTATTTTTACATCTATATATATAAATCTGTAGGGGGCGTCGTACGGCGTCGCATAACTCCACAACCCCCCAACGAAACTGAACCAAAATTGCCATGCCCCTAGGACAACCCACTCGCTACAAACTAATCTACTCCAAAATAAAAAAACACAACACACAAAACACCACAAAACAACTGAACATGCGCACTGGCGCAACTCCCCGGCACGCGCGCACCCCGCCCCCCGCCCCCCCCCCCCCGGCGGCACACACGCGCGCGCGGCGGAAACTCCCCGCCACGCGCACACCCGCCGCCCCTCACCCCCCCCCTCTGGGCAGCATCTCCCACACAGACGCGCTTTGTTTTGGAGGAGGACAAAAGGGAAGGGAAGCCGAGGATTGCAGGGAAGGAGCAGCCTCCCGGGTTTTGACAATGGCTAAGCTTGGCTAGCAGTAGAAGAAGCCTCCGAAGCGTTTGCCTAGGAGAGGAATGGTGGGCACAGAAGCCTTGCTTAGCAGCTGTCCCTGGAGAAGGAGCGGAGGAAGCGGATCCCGGGCGCAGGGATGGCTTTCATGGCTGGGGCGGCTTCAGAGGGAGGGAAGCGAACCGGAGAAGGGAGAAAAGCAAGAAGGAGGCGGGTCTACTCCCTTCTCGGGGCTGGAGGCCGGCCGGCGTTTAAATGCCCCGGGATCCGGCACGTGCCGCGCCTGAATCAGGGCCCCGCCGCAAAGGGAGGGGGAAGGAGGGGGCGGGGCCTGTCCCGGAGCTCCGCCCACAAGCTGCGCTCTAAGGAGACTCGCGCCCCTTGCCCTGGGAATCCAACTCATTGGGCAAAGGCATCGGGGATAATATGATAGTACGATATGAAAAAGGGAGAGAAGGAAGGAGAGAAAGAAAGAAAAAGGGAAGGAAGGAAGGAAAAAGAGGGAGAGATGGAAGGAGAGATAGAAAGAAAAAAGGAAGGAAGGAAGGAAGGAAGGAAGGAAGGAAGGAAGGAAGGAAGGAAGGAAGGAGACGGAATGGGCCTCGTTAGGTGGGAGGGTCAGCTGAAGAAGGAGATGAGGGAGGGAGGAAGGAAGAGGAAGGAGGAAGGAAGGAAGGAAGGAAGGAGAAGGAGGAGGAGAAGGAAGGAAGGGAAGAAGGAAAGACAGAAGACATAAAGGAAGGAAGGTAACAAAAAAGGAAGGAAGGGAAGCAGAAAGGGAAGACTGAAATGGGCCACAGCAACGCGTGGCAGGGTACAGCTAGTTATATATATATACATACACACACACACACACATATATATATATAATTATTGATTCTGTATTTTGTATATTTTTTTCATATTTCATATACAGTATTATATTGTGTCCATCTGTCTGTCTGTCTGTCTGTCTGTCTGTCTGTCTGTCTGTCTGTCTATCTATCTATCTATCTATCTATCTATCTATCTATCTATCTATCTATCTATCTATCTATCTATCTATCTATCTATCTCTGTATTCATTTATATAGATGCCCCCCCCCCCCCCTCCCCCCCCCCCCCCTCTGTTCTTCCCATCCCAGCCCCCTCCCTCACGTGGCGCACGAAGCCTCTCCGGCCGCCGCGGCTCCCTTAGCAACAGACCCTCGCTGCTTTATCACCCAATCAGGAGAAACATGCTCCGTCAGAACCAATGGAGGCGCAGGGGGCGGGGCCAACGCGCTACCCGCGGGGGAAGGAGGGCGGTCCAAGCTTGGGCCGCCATTTTGCCTGGTGAGAAACAAAAGAGTCGAAGGCGCTTCTGGGTCGGACGCGGTTGGTAGGTGAACTTATGCCGCTTCTTTCTTCCCGCGAGGGGTTCAGGTGTATGGTGGGATTACCAGGGGAAGGGGGTGGCCTTAGCCTGCCCCAAGGGTGATGAGGGCTCAAAGCACAGGAGTGTCCGACGGGGAGGCGCTGAAGTAGCTTGCTGCGGCCTCACTGTGAGGCCATTATTACCCTTATGCTACTGTCCTTTGCGGGCGGGTGGTGGTTCCTCAGGGAAGGCCTGTTCTCTCCCTATTTGTCCCCATCATGTCTTGGTATCCATGTGGGCCCAAATCCCTTCTTTTTGGATAAGCTATTCTCTATCTACCCGTCTCGTTTGTGCCTCTCACCCTTCAGTCAGAATTAAAATAGCCGAGAGCATTTTTCTTTGTGGTTAGAAAACTCCGGGTTTAGGCCCAGCACGTCACAAAAGGGCGAGATAATTAAAACATCTTTCTCGTGTGAGTGTGTTCCCTTTCAGAGCTTTTATTGTGATGGGAAATAAATGAGTCATTGGGTCCTTCCAGACAGGATCTGATCCCGTGTTTTCTATTTATCCCAGATTATCTGGCAGGTCCCTTCCACACAGCTGAATAAAACCCCACATTGTCTGCTTTGAACTGGAATATATGGCAGTATGGACTCAGATAACCCAGTCCAAAGCTAATACTGTGAGATTTTCTGCCTTGATATTCTGGGTTATATGTCTGTGAGGAAGGGCCCTCATCCAGGGCCCTTTCACACAGCCCTATATCCCCCAGAATATCAAGGCAGAAATCTCCACAATATCTGCTTTGAATTGGGTTATCTGAGTCCATACTCAGATATTGTGGAATTTTCTGCCTTGATATTCTGGGATATAGGGCAGTGTGAAAGGGCCCCCAGTTTAAAGCAGAAAACCTGGGATATAGGGCCTGTCTAGAAGGACCCATGGTTATTTGACAGTTTTGACACTGCACTGGTTGGCTTTTCAATGTCTTTCTTCACTACCCCCCCCCCCCACACACACACACACAACCACTATGTTTATGTGAGATTTATATCACAAATTCTGGGATATAGGGCTTGTCTAGAAGGACCCATTGTTATTTGACAGTTCTGACACTGCATTGGTTGGCTTTTCAATGTCTTTCTTCACTMCCCCCCCCCCCCCACCACCACTGTTTATGTGAGATTTATACCACAAATTCTGGAACATCTTGATCTTTCTTTCTGAGAGCTATTATTTCTTGAGCTGGACTTCCAAATAGTGAAATACAAAACTCTATGGAGTAGCACTGGAACCCTTTCCTATGTGACATATTTGCATAAAATGTTGATAGCAGGACCAACATCTTGACTCTATTTAGGTATAGTGCTTATCTACTGTGTTTTCAGAGCAAGTTGTTCAATGCAATGAATGAAAGTATACAATGTAAGTACAATAAAATGAATAATAATAAAAATCATGTACTGACCACACAACGAGATGAGTGGCTGCACTGAAAGTCAGGTAAAAGCTTTGGTAAATAAAGCTTGTAAAAAGAAAGTGGAGAGTAAACAGTGAAATGACCAAACAGGAGATTGCAGCAGATTCTGCAATGTTGGTAAATATTCTTCTGATCTTTCACCACTCTGAACGGTTGATGTGAACTTTACTGCACCATCTCCATTAAAATAGGTTTTAATGACATCACATTCTGCAGTACATTCCTGCTGAAATATGACAGAGGCATGAAGATGACTACCAAGGCGCAATGAGCAAGATATCAAAACCCTTTCACCAGATCGAGGTAGTTAAAATCACTATTGCAACCTGATGCTACAGGAAAACAACAAGGTTCTATTACAATGAGCAGGGCTGACTTTGCTACTAAAAACGAGCCACTCCTATCAGTCTCTAGACTGCAGGTTTATATTCTGTGACTTTTACGTCTTTTTTGTCGTCCACTGGTACTCTCTGTGACAAACTGTAACATAAAAACACATTGGTCTGAATGATTCATTTATCCAGGGCTTACAAATTAAATTGAAATACAGATACATCATTTAAACCTGAGTATTTACATCAATGATGTTAATTGTGCATCCTCCAAATGTTGAATTACAGTACAAAACATTCTTCATAAGTGACTATGCTGGTTGGGATTTTTGAGAGTTGCAGTTCATCAAATTGTTGGATATGCATAATTCTCACCCCAATTTTACGCCATATCTATTAAGTTATATTTTGTTGCTGCTTGGTGAACTACTCATGTCAGGGATGGGTGTCATGGAGTCTGATGGCTATAAACACATTTTTGAGACTTCTTTCGTTTTTAAAAAATAGGGGATGGGAATGGAGACTTATCCCATTTGAAGCTGCTGGAAGGGGTGTGATTCTGTCCTAAGTCAAAATGTATTTCTCTTGTGGCTTTTGTTTTACTAGATACCTGATTTTGGAGGTAAAAGACAGAAACAACCTGGTTTCCCTAGTATAGGCAAGAGCAGTGCTCGGGGGGGGGGGGGGGGGGGGGGGGGGGGGGGGTCAAAGGTCTAGCAGTAAATCCTATTTCATTCTGAATTTTCAGCATCAGTTTATAGCTGAATAAGGCCCTTTCCACACAGCTGTATAAAATCCACATTGAACTGGATTATATGACAGTGTGGACTCAGATAATCCAGGTCAAAGCAGACTGTGAATCATCTGCCTTGATATTATGGGTTATATGGCTGTGTGGAAGGGCCCTAAGAGATGTAGTGATGCCCATGAACTGGGAAACAACCAGAAGTAGAATGTTGGGGAAGGAGAGGGAAAATACTGGGCCCTTCCACACAGCCCTATATCCCAGAATTTCAAAGCACAAAATCCCACAATATCTGCTTTGAACTGGATTATCTGAGTCCACACTCGGATAATGTGGGATTTTCTGCCTTGATATTCTGGGATATAGGGCTTTGTGGAAGGGCTTTTTGACTGAAGGAATCCAGACAATAAATCTGGCCTGTGCCCATAAAACAGTACTTTTGTGTTAAATAAAAAGTTCTTGTATCTTTTTTTTGTATCTTTTGACTTGAATATCATAGTGATATCTAAATTGCAAGCACAGTAGATTTCATCATTTATTGTTATATCTGAACTGGGATGATACATATAGCAGCTGGATAATATAAATTGTGAAGTGGGTTATAATGTCAGCAGTATTCTAAATATATTCAACTTGTCTGTTCATTGTTAACAGTTCTAGATTTATTTTATTCCAATCCAAGCCATTTAGAGAGGTTCATAGAGCCTCCAGAAGAGCTGAGAAACTGATTTAAATGCTTAGTGTAGGTCTGTTCCTTTTTTGCTTCATGCTGAAGGATGATGTTAGGATATTATTGCCACATTCCACAGCCATGTTCTTGTGTTTTGTCTTGTATAATAGCCTATATCAGATGTAAAAATACTTGAGTGTGGTAGGTATCTCAAATTCACAGCAAAATACATCTTTCAAGACCTCTGTTCTCAAAAACGCACCATGGTTTGCCCCTAGATACGGAAGATGATTTTAAGGGCCCTTCCACACAGCCCTATATCCCTGAATATCAAGGCAGAAAATCCCACAATATCTTATTTGAACTGGGTTATCTGAGTCCACACTTCCATATATCCAGTTCAAAGCAGATGTTGTTGTTGTTCATTCGTTCAGTCGTCTCCGACTCTTCGTGACCTCATGGACCAGCCCACGCCAGAGCTCCCTGTCGGCCGTTACCACCCCCAGCTCCCTCAAGGTCAGTCCAGTCACTTCAAGGATGCCATCCATCCATCTTGCCCTTGGTCGGCCCCTCTTCCTTTTGCCTTCCACTTTCCCCAGCATAATTGTCTTCTCTAGGCTTTCCTGTCTCCTCATGATGTGGCCAAAGTACTTCAACTTTGTCTCTAGTATCTTTCCCTCCAATGAGCAGTCGGGCTTTATTTCCTGGAGGATGGACTGGTTGGATCTTCTCGCAGTCCAAGGCACTCTCAGCACTTTCCTCCAACACCACAGTTCAAAAGCATCGATCTTCCTTCGCTCAGCCTTCCCTAAGGTCCAGCTCTCAAAGCAGATAATGTGGGATTTTCTGCCTTGATATTCTGGGATATAGGGCTCTGTGGAAGGGCCCCCAATGTCTTCTCTTATAACACTGGAGCTCCTCCTGCCTGATATATGTAACAGCTCACATCATTTATTGTTATATCTGAACTGGGATGATACATATAGCAGCTGGATAATATAAATTGTGAAGTGGGTTATAATGTCAGCAGTATTCTAAATATATTCAACTTCATTAATGTCTTGTATAAAACTGTATATTCAGATGCATGTCCCAAAAATTCAGTGGCTCTGACTACCAGGTACATACATTTGCAGCTTAGAGTCACCAAAACAGATTTTAAAGCTTGGGAAGGTTCATATGGGTGAACGTTTCTCAGATTGTTGTTGGATTTAAGGGTTAATAATACTGAATTAATGCCAGATATACATAGGTAAAAATTCAGCGAATACAGCAGATATTGATTGAACTTGTAATTTTAGAGGCCCTGGATGGTCCTGAAATAATATTTCATCATCATGAATGGGACAGTAGTTTCTTTAACACAGCTGGTACAGATTATGAGATGACTCCTGAGTTCAGCCTGACCTCTGGATGTTCAGATACACGAGTTGCCTTTTTATCGTGTAATACGTTATACACCACCTACAACCTATTTTGGAGGTCAAAGTCGTTATGATTACCACCTATGCTTTGATAGTAGGAATGGGGAACTGATTTCTTTTGCGTCATACTATTTATTACTTTAGCCCAGTACTGTTTCCTTGCAGTGGTTCTGCAGGGTATAGGGCAGAAGTCTTCTGCATCTTGCGGTAAACATGTTTTGTAGTTGTTGTTAAAACTATGAATGCCAGGGATCGGTTCAGATCTGTAGTCACAATATGGGCTTTACAGCTCTCATTGCCCAACAAAGATTGTTTGCTGTAATGGGCTGCCTTTGAAGACTGCTTGCAGAAAACAGTTTAAAGTATTTACATT